AATACTCAGACCAGCCCTTCTGGCACCAACAATCATGCCACGTTCAAAGTCACTCAAATCAACTTTCTTCCCCATACTGATGCTCGGTTTGAACTGCAGGAGATTGTCTTGACCATGTCTACATGCCTAAATGCACTGAGTTGCCGCCATGTGATTGGCTGCTTAGAAATTAAGTGTTAACGAGCAGTTGGACAGGTGTACCTAATAAAGTGGCCGGTGAGTGTATATATATATAAACAAACAATCAAACAAGACCATGCTAATATGGAATGGCACAGCAGCCTAAAATCATCATGTCTACACTTTTTTACACACAGTTCTCCAATGGTGTAATGTATGATAACAACAGTTCTAAACTAGCGTATTGGCACATTATACATCCACAAACACATTCGACCTCTCACTATCACATTCAAATAAACAATATTTATCTTTCTGATTTAGTGTGAACAGAAAACAATCCATCAGCTTTTGTTCATTACTTACTTTTATCAGCTGATCGTCTTGGCTTTTTTGGGGCAGATGTCTGTGGTACGTCTCTCGATGACCCATCAGCAGAAGCTTTTGCGTCCGCATGGGACACCACTGCAGCTTTACGTTTCAACTTATTTTTCGCTTTCTTATCCGGTTTATTCACACATTCAGACACACCGACATTGCTCACAACGTTTGATAAACCCTCTGTAAATACATGTGTTAAAGTTTTAAAACAAAATCAACAAACCATAGCAGCATAACATTGTTTGATAAAGCCAAATGACAATGCACTTACCCAGGGGAATAACTCCAACGTTAGCAGACTCGCTGCTTCGCTGTGGTCCGTGTACTAAGGCCTTGATAGTTACGCGTTTCGGCCCTGGTAAAAACAAAAAACCCCAAGAAGATAAGATAATTTCACACAGCCACAACACTGTTTAAACACGGGTGTAACAACATTTAACAATACCTGGCACAAGTGCTTCCGTGATCGCTCGTGAAGAGGCAACAGCGTTGTGCTTAGCACCAGTTGTGCTAGGTCTAGCCACGCCTCCTGGCGAAAACAAAACAAAAACATCATCCGTCACACACACGCACACAAACACACACACACACACACAACGTATGCAACATTTAAACATAATTATACGTACCGCCGGCTTGATTTAGGAAATTAATCTCCTCAACAAGATCGAAGAGACTCAAACTTTCACCATCTGAAGCGGGCAGATAAAACCTTAAGTAAGCAATAGAACAGCGACGCTCGTAAACAAAAATAATGTTTCTTAACAATGTTACTAAATAATAAAAAACACTCACTGTTAGAACAGGATTCCATCTTCTTGCACTCACGATTCCAACAACACAATATGGCTTGGAAAATAGTTTGAGAACGAGAATAAACAGCGGTGATGCTTGACACGAGACACGACACACTAGTACGCTTCAGTGACTGTGCTCGCGTTCAACACACATTTATACACGCAGGTTTTGGCGAAGTGTGAAAATGGGCCTCCCCAGCAGACAGAATACACAACGACATAACATCTCGCGCAGGTAGACGGCCAATAAACCCGGAAGGCCAAGGGCCAGACACCTTTCTTTTACACCTCTGACCCAGGATGTCAACGCAGGAGGATGTCACATGGCGTCGCGCAGCCTAGACATACCGGAGCCTGTCAGCGACCCATCATAAATCAGAGACAGGGGAACCTCAGAACCATAAATCAAAGTCATAAAACACCTTTTTTGACACATGGTTTATGTTAATACTACTCATTTGAATCTGTTTTTACATATAACGGGAAAAAAATACAGACGGCCCGGCGGCAACAGTGCAGAAGACGAGAAGACGCCTCTTATCATTCTTAATATTATTTTTCTTATTTAACGCTCTCTCTTCATAGATACTTTCTATGCTTGGTTATGCAGTCCCTAACAATTTACTTGCCATTGTTATGTGTCATTGCACACACACACATACATGTCTATATTACTAACAGAGCACTGTCGCTCTACACTGGCCAAGAGGGGACTTTCTGAACGATTTCTATCCAACCAACTGGGGACTCTGTGTGTGTGTGTGTGTGAACAGTGAAGTGAACTGGCAGTGAAATCTGTCTTCATTATGGAACTTATATTGTTACATTATATATCTTTTATATACATTATATGTATATATATATAATGTTCACACAGGCATCAGATATCCCAATATGCATAGATAAACATATACAATATAATATTAAAAAGAGAATGACCTAACCATCAGTTTTCAAAAATTCAAAAATTAATTTTTTTGAGTAAAGACCATTTGAATCTGTTTTTCATTCAACGGGTAAAAAATACAGACGGCCCGGCGGCAACAGTTCAAAAGCAGAGGCGAGAAGACGCCTCTTATCATTCTTAATATTATTTTTCTTATTTAATGCTCTCTCTTCATAGATACTTTTTATACTTTGTTATGCAGTCCCTTTAGGGATTATGCCAGAAAATAGCTCCTTAAAGTAACGATTTCTATGATTTAATGCAGAATAATGATTTTATTAATCAAAATGAACTCGGCCCCCATTCAGATGGTAATGAACGATTCCAGTTTGGCTGCTTTGTACATTTCTTGCCATCACAAACACTGTAAAGATTTTGGAGGTCACTGATTCTTGGGAATTTGGATAAAACAGGTTTTAATTTTGAAAATAAAAAGTTAGTTAAATTACAAAATCTGCAAGTATATCATTATAGACCAAGGTCTTGGCTGTTCAGCAATGTAACGGTGCAACCTCCTCATTTTGAAAAATAATAAATTATTTTTTATTTATTTGGTCTAATATGTATTTAGAGTTCCCTTTCAAGGGAACTTCGAGCTGCGTTTGAGACGCGGTGGGAACGCTCTGCGTGATTGCGTCATGAAGCACGTGTAAAATCAGTCCAATGGAAGCCCGATACGTCATGGGTGACGTCATAGACCAGGAAACTATAAATCACCCTTGAAAACAGACCGCGACAGCTTCTGTTGTCTTCAGCAAGCGCTCTCTGTGATTCTGTCCTTGTCTATTTATTGTTGTTTGTCAAGCCCAATATATATATATCACTATCTATCATTATGGCGAGCAAAGCAATATTATAGACGTTGTGTTGTTCCCTGCCCTCGTTACATCACGGGTGGGGACACACATCAGCTTTTTGTTGCTGTTTGGGAGTGGAGCATGCAACAGTCATTTCTCGAGGGATCTGACTGTGCATTGCGAGAAGCTGTCCGTGAGGACGCTCCGCTCCCGCCGGGCGTTCTTCGAGGAGGACGGTTCGGTTCGCGTTCCCCGAGCGGGTCTCTCTGTTGCCGAGGCTCGGAGACGGCTCGTATTTCGGGGTTCGAAAACGGATCTGACAGCGGGGGTTGGGACGGGCTCCGCCCTTTCTCAGCTTTCACATGCCAGATCTAGTGTGCTGCGATTTCCAGTTCCAAGGAATTGGTATCGTTAGTGTTTTGTTTAAAAAGAAAGAAAACAAATACAAATCTTTATAAAAAGGCAGATGTTTGAGTTTTCAATGAATACATTTTCCAGCTCATAACTCTGTTGAATAAAGAGGAGCTTTTTTAAAGAAAAAAAAGGAGGTTTTATCTAGTGCTGTTGCCAGTTAAATATTTACTGGCCAGCTGAACATTATGAGATTGAAAATAAAGAAGAGTTTGTTAGATGAACTGTATCTTAAAACAGGAAAACTCTGTATCTCAGCCTCCTCGTCGGGGACTGTGGTTTTTCCCTATCTCCACACTGAGGTGTCGAGATCGTGGAATAAACCGGTTTGTATTTTATGTGTTTAATCCCCAGATGTCTGACTATTGTAATGTTTGGGTATTAAGTATCATAGTATGACATTGCCTCGGGTTAAAGAGACGCTTGCGAGCTTTCTCTCTCCCGAGTCGGCGTTATCGTTATTAACCCCGACGTTACCCACCAGCCATCTTAATAATGAATACATTTTTATTAGGCAGCGCTGGTGGGTAGAGTATATAAGGACATGGATGAATGTGAGGGGCGACTCTCTGAGGAGGGTCGCAGCGCTGCCAGTTCGGTTGTTTCCTGCTGGTGGCCGCAGAGTGATATATATGTATATATATATAAGTTTTTCTGATATAAAGATAAAGGAAAATAAAGATATAATTATGTCTGTTCTTCTGGACGCTCCGCTTTCAAGAAAACTAAGAAATAAACCATTCAGCGGCGTTCCAGAGGTTTCTTCCTCACCAATCTAATGTTCCTGAGACGGCCAAAATATTATGCTCCTCTCAGCACAAAGTGCAAAACAGAGCGTCGCCATTCGGGCTCCTCCGCAATTGAGGGGTACCTGGGTGGCGGTCGCAGTCTAGCCAGTTAGAGACATGCAAGATCTGAGGACTGTTTTATCTCTAAAATAGCTTTGACAAAGAAGAAGCCCTGACGCCGAGGCGATCAGGCTTCTAAGGGTGGTCCCCTCTGGGGTAGGGACGGTTTTGAGAAATCGTTTCTCCTCAGCGCCCTTTGGGGTGCGACTCTCTGAGGAGGGTCGCAGTACTGCCAGTTCGGTTTCCCTGCCGGTTCGCCGTTTCAGGGCACCAAGGTTCAGGTTTTTTTTCTGGCGCGATTTCTGACAGACTGCGTCTCTTGGCGGTAGTTTCAGACAGCAAATTTAAACGTCATTAAAAAACAAGGACCAGCCCATATCACAAACACACAAAAAAACAGAAACTTCAGCTCAGGTAAGTTATGATGACATATTCACCACTCAAAAAAGTTTTTATGAAATTAGTTTTTGGTAAATCGATCAAATGTCTATGTTGCCAAGCGGCAACACTGTGCAATAGTGGAATGACATTATTGCAATAGTTTAGCTAGCTAGAAAGGTCAGCTACAATCTGTTAAGCTGTAACAATAACAACATTAATACCAGTGATATAATGTTTATTAGTCATATGTTAAGGACTGCCAAGGCATTTGTATTATGGAAAAAAAATCTAATCTATTTTACTTTTGATTAGATACAGTATGAATACAGATATATCAGTGAGCACTGCCATATTATATGGCAAGGTAAAGAAAAGAAGGGCAGAACTGGCTCTTCCTGCAGATGAAAGTGTGGATGAGATAGGATTTAGTGACCATGAGGATGATGTGGATTGGACAGTAGATGTGAGCAGTGATGGAGACAGTTCAGGTAAGTTAGCTCAGAGGCAGGCAGACAAGACAGGTATTAGTCTAGCAAACAGTGTTAGCTAGATTATTCTGATGCATCTGGATACGTTAGACTTGTTATTTATTAATTATAATATGTATTGGACCTACTGTATTTTGTCTGTCAACACAAACACTGTATTGTTTTGAATCCTTTTGAATCCTTTCAGCAGATGAAGAGCTGCAGTTTGAAACTGAAGAGGGAATTGTGCCAGCAATAGAAGAGAGAGGTACAGAAATGCTATCTATTGTTATAGAGAACTGTGTGTGTGTGTGTGTGTGTGTGTGTGTGTGTGTGTTCATGTTTTTTCTATCCTGGTGGGGGACTTCAACCTGAATGCACACAGACACTGTGTGTGTGTGTGTGTGTGTGTGTGTGTGTGTGTGTGTGTGTGTGTGTGTGTGTGTGTGTGTGTGTGTGTGTGTGTGTGTGTGTGTGTGATGGGTAGGTTTAGGGCTAGGGTTAGTGTAAGAGGAGAGAATATACAGTTTGTACAGTATAACAACAATTACGAGTCCCCACAAAGATAGTGAACCAGACATGTGCGTGTGTAGGTTTGTACTTGTGCAGAAAGTGACAAAGAGACTTCCAACGTGTTTTTCACATAACATTAATGCATGTTTGCTTATGTTTCATTAGATCAAGAAGAGGTTAGAGCTGCCTGGTGCCCACCATTCCAAAAGACAAAGAACCTGAAATGGAGGAAAAAGAGGAGCACTGCTGCCGTTCCAGGATGGAAGGGCAGCCTCCCTCATGCTGACCATGTTAAGGAGCCCATTGAATACTTCAGGGGTCTTCTGAGCAGAAACATAATTGAAAAGATGGTGTTCCAGAGCAATCTCTACTCCATCCAGTGTGACCCAACCACGCCCTTGAATGTTACTTTTGAGGAGATAGAGCAGTTCATAGGGATATGCCTTCACATGTCTGTACATGGCCTGCCACATACCCGAATGTTTTGGGGCACAAAGACAAGAGTGGATTGTGTGGCTGACACAATGTCAATGAAAAGATGGGAGGCTATCAAACGCTTTCTACACTTTGCCAACAATGACGAACAGGTGCCTGCTGGACAGCCTGGCTATGACAAGCTGTTCAAAGTGAGACCACTCCTAACAGCTTTACAGGAGAGTTTTAATCACATCCCAATGGATGAGCACCTATGTGTTGATGAGCAGATTGTACCATTCAAAGATAAAAGCCAGCTGAAGCAGTACATTCCAATGAAGCCGAAGCGTTGGGGCTACAAGATCTTCGTGCTGTGTGATCGGAATGGCATCGCCTACAATTTTTATTTCTACACTGGTCCAATCACTTCAGTGGAGGGTTTTCCAGACCTGGGTGCCAGCGGAAATATTGTTTTGAAGTTGGCCTCGATTGTGCCGATGTATATATCCTACAAAATGTTTTATGACAACTGGTTTTGTGGTGTTGATCTTCAGTTGCAGCTTGAGAAAGTAGGGATCCACAGTGTGGGAACTGTAAGACAAAATCATCTGGCTGGATGCACCTTCACAGAGGACAAGTTTATGAAGACCTACAGACGTGGAACATATGAAGAAAAAGAGACAACACATGACGGTACAGCACTAACAGCAGTGAAATGGTTCGACAACTGCCCAGTTACCCTCCTAAGTACATTTGCAGCAGCCACTCCAACCTCAAATGTGGAGCGGTGGGACAAGAAGAGGAAGGAGGTCATTACAGTGGCGCGTCCAAACATCATTCAACTCTACAATGAAAGCATGGGTGGGGTGGATCTCATGGATTCTCTCATTGCTCTTTACCGCACCAAAATCCGCTCAAAGAAGTGGTACCACCGCATTGTGTTCCATATGTTGGACTTGACCACGGTGGAAAGCTGGCTGCTCTACCGCAGAGACTGTAAGGATGTGGGGCTCACACAAAATGCACAACTGCGTCTGCTTGACTTTAAAATTGACATTGCTCAATGACTTTGCAAAGAAAACAAGGGAGGGCTGAAGCGCAAAGGTAGGCCCTCACAGAGGAGCACTGAATCAGCTTTGGATGGGAAAAAACTCACCTGCTCACCACAGCCAGTACGACTGGACCAGACCAACCACTGGCCTACCATGGTGTCTCAAAAAGGCAGGTACAAGTATCCTGGCTGTAAGGGTATTGTTAGGGTGAAGTGCACCAAATGTGAGGTGTACCTGTGCCTTACCACTGAAAAAAACTGCTTCGTGAAGCTTCATACAGAAAAAAGGTGAAGTTTCAAGGATTATGGGATGGGGGTCATGTTCAGTCTTTCTCTCATAAGATTGCATAATGTTGAATTTCCATGAACTGCAATGTTTTTATGTAAATGTTGTATGATACATGATGAACAGTATTATATTTGTTCTTAACTGTATAAATTTGCAATTTAATAATATTAATAAAAAATGTAATGAAATTCAAAGAATGTAAAGCATTATTCAGCTAAAAATAATGGAATAAAAAGAATCAGTTGGAAGAATAATTTGTTGGAAAGTATGTATAAGGTGTTGTTTATAAGTACTGTGTTAAAGCTTATTATAGCACAAATTGAATCAACACAAACAACAACAATATTAACTATAAGTAAACTTACACTTATTCTAAGTCATTTCCACTATTGTACGTTGTTGCCGTATGGCAACATATCATAAAGTACCTTAGAATAATATTTTTTCCATTTTTTTTTTCTACAGCACTTCAAGTTAAGCCATTCTAAGAAAAGAAAAAGAGTCAAATATTTTTTTCTATAGGTCTATCATAATGCGTGCGGTAGAGGGTTAACCCTCTGGGGTCGGCGGTATCGCCAGCGATACCAGTTGACTTTTTTCCTTATCAGTGCAAAAGAGACTCAAATTACTCTGTTGATTTTGATCTTACATATAAGTGTTGTACATCATTCGATCCTGTTAAGTTTGTATTTTTTTTGTGGAACCTCACAATAAAAACAAAGTGTTGTGCTTTTCGCCTAATAAAGAAAAATAAACATGATGCGCGTTCTGCGTTCTCTCTGTCAGTGAAGTCCATTCTGAAACGCGTCCGAAAAATTAACTGTAACTAAGTCAATACTTGTCACAGAGAGACGAGACATGTGTCTTTTTAAAGCTTGTATTCTCTTCTTTTAAATGAAGTAATTTATAAAAAAAAAAAAATATTTCCAGTTTATGTAATCCGTTTGAAACCAAGGAGAGGTACAGTTTTTTCGTTCTCAGTTCATTAACTTTAATGAGCTGAGCCCGCCACGCCCCCAGCGCTTTTCACATGGTAAATAGGTGATCTAACGTTATGCATAGCACACGCCCAGCGATCAATGGCATAAAAACACGAAGTTTCTTCACTGATAGATTCATTGCGTTTTGAGGATGGCACGGTACTCCGACAAAGAGGCCCTTCAGATGATTCTGGACAGCAAGGAAGAATTCATTTTTCCTCAGAGGAAGATTATAACTCGGACGAGGAACGGCTGCATTTTGAAGAACGAATTGACCCCGCCGAGGATACAAGTTCAGAGTAAGTTGTTTAGTGTTTTATAATTTCGAGCTCAAATGAATTTTCAGACTATATTTTGCTTAGCTTTTGACATCTTACAGAAAAGATTGCCTCACAATATCCCTAACATTCGTGTATACGCTCGTGTAAACATTTTAAATGTGATATTACTCTCTAAACATATTTGTATATTAAATATATAGTTTTGATTAGCTTATGACACTGATTATCATGCTAAAATACTGCCTTATGCGTTATGTATTTTGTTTGCGAATAACTGCATGTTTAGGTATAGCCTATTGATTTAATGAAATATATTTCAGCCTCTGGTAAAATATGTGATACTGTCTAAATACAATATATTTTTTATATAAAAATGTTGAGTTTTGGTTAGCCTATGACACTACTTATGCTAAAATAGTGCCTTATGCGTAATGTATTTTGTTTGTGAATAACTGCTTAGGTTATATAACGAGAAATATTTCAGGCTCCGGTAAAAGAGGTCTAAATACAATATATTTTTTATATAATTAAATGTTCAGTTTTGGTTAGCCTATGACACTATATCATGCGTAAATAACTGAATACAGGTGTAAATGTTTGAAATGTAGTGATGTGTCATTCGCGAACGATCCGTTCATTGCGTGTAGGCCTATCACTAAATGTGTGCGGTCTATGGGCCATCAACAGATATTTCTCCGTCCCATGGCCCATCAACAGATATATACATACATTGTGCATCCATACCCATTAATTGTCCATCAGTTTACTTTGGATAATATATGCTAACAGTTTTTTTTAATTATTATTTTTATTTTTCGGAATGTGTCTGCATCATGCTCTCCTTCGCCAGCACCTCGCAGAGGGACAGGGGCGGATCTACAGGGGGGCAAGGGGGGGCAGGTGCCCCCCCACTCTAGAGCCTTGCCCCCCCAGCTGCCCCCCTAACTTTAATGATCCAAAAACTGTACTTGTAAAAACAACCTGCCACTATGTCCACAAGCTTCTCAAAACAGTGAACTAAACAATACATTTACCAAAAGTGAACAATTTCATTTTTATTTTTAAATATATTATTAGCCCCTCCCCCCTGCGTCCCTGATTCAAACGTGCAGAGTGGGCGGCGTTGGCGGCTCACACACACACACACACACAGCGAGTCTGCTGCGGTAAGGTGGCCCTGCAACCCGACTGGAGAGACTGAGCTGCCCCAGAGCCTCTGAAGGTGAAGTGAGTTTCCCCAGGTGTAGTTTAAACACACACGTTTAACTTAAAGTTACATTTGTAATGAATGTATTGTATACTAAAGACGATTCAGCATCAGCAAAAACAGCGCGTCTATTACGTTAGCCAAAATCAGCGGTCAATTCGCTCCCTTGTGATTTGTAAGAGCACTCTTCCCTTTGATTAGACTAATTTTGATTTTAGTAAAGACAAGAACAGCTTAAGGCGAGACACAAAAACATCCGTTTTTTTTCACTGGTTAATTTTAAGATTTTGGGCTTCTTTCAGACTTGTAGTGAATTTTTTTTCCAAAAAAACACATTTAGGACTTTATTTTACTACACTTTGTCTATTTGCGTCAGTAGATTTCTCCTAAATTCAACAAAAGTTGTCGTTCTAAATCAACATGCTGCTCCGCGATTGCTGCATGTCAATGTCATCACATACATCTCCTTTGGAAAGCTCTCTCTCCTGTACATTGTTGTCGTATCCAAATATGGTCATTTCCTTTTAATCAGTAACCAATCGTGAAAGTACAATGGACATTTAACTCTAAAACCGAAATCTCATTGACTGATGTCAATTTCTGACAACGTGATTTGTTCAGATGCATCACGTGACGTGCTCTGACATTTAGATATGCGTTTTTGACTGTTTTTCTGTTCAGTTGAAGGCCATAAATGCTGTGATTTAGGTGGTTTGTATTGTTGTTGCTAATGATTTGATAAGATATTGTGTCTGTAAATAGTTGTTTCCACTAAAAAAAGTATGATTTTTTACATTACAAATCTTTAAATGCTGTTTTCTCAAAATTATTTTTTTGTCATTCTCCAGTACAAACATCTCAGCCTGTGTAGCACCTATGTACACCAAACTTTCCAGTTATACACTTAGCAGTATTCTGAAGATATTTTCAGAGGGATTTGTTAATAAATCATTCCTAAAAACCTTTGTAGTGTGTAAGGGCATGATTAAACAATAACGTTAATCATTTAATAATGATTAAAAGTGTTTTTGTGTTTGTTTTGTTTAAGCAATTCACATATAGGGATTCCCATGTACCGTCTACCCCTGCCACCCTGCCAAGACCTCTTGCCACCCCTTTGCCCCCCCCATGTAAAATTTTCTAGATCCGCCACTGCAGAGGGACACGCAGGTGTCGTTCAGTTCTCAGTGCGGTCGAGAATCATACTGAGTAAGTGCACAGACGTAATATTTTACAGATGAAATTTAGCCTAATTGTGTTTACATCGTCATAATGTAAAAGTAGGCTACCTATTCTTGTGTGAAATTACAAAAAAAAAAAAAAAATATCCATGGCAATTAGTGATTGATAATGATAATAATACAGTTTATTTGATTGTGTTATCAGCATGCTCATGCTTTTTTTCTTTTTTATAACAGATGTGACAATGAACACGTCCATCCACCAGTTCCGAAGAGAGCCAAGGCAAACAAGCAGGCAAGCAATAGGCAGTCCACTTTTTTATATAAAAAAAAAAGAGTTTGGTCTTTTTATGTTTGTTTTTTTGAAAGGATGTGTTAAGTGATAGTAATGACTTTAAGTCTTTACGTTCTTAGGAAAGATTTCTATTTTGAATAAATGCTGTTCTTTTTAACTTTTTATTCATCAGTGAATCATTCTTAGTCCAGGCTGCCTCACAGCACCTTGGGCCATTAGCCATTGGGGGAGTGCCTTTAGTCTTCCCAGATGTAAATCACATTAATATTCATGGCCATTCACACTCCCACGCATACAGCAATGCTGACCAAAAACTGTCGTAAGAAATGTAAATCATTATATTGTTGTTTGTGAAAGAGTGGTCAGAATGATTTTCACTTCATTTTGAAGTAAAAAATCTAGCCTACAAGAATAGTAACTCAAAAGTCTTGTGGACAATTATTCAGTATGTGTTAAATGGCCTTATTGCGGCGAAATTTTTTTTCCCAAAACGTACTAACCACGCATAATATTTTTTTTCTATAAAATGCAAACATGTACATCCATTTTGCTCACATATTATTGTAGCAGAGTTTGTGCTGAATACAGCAAATTTATATGTTGGCAAATGGTATGTTTTAAGTAGCTGAAATAAGCACAAATGTCAGGGCATGTCAAAACATCTCAAGGGCCCCAAAAACACCTCAGACGGTTAAACAAAGAACGATTCAGTGCGTCCTCGTCCTCATGAAGGTTAACAGGTAACCTGTTAGCCAGCAACCCCCACTTTTGAAAAATCCCCAG